TTTTTTTTAAATTTGTCTATTTTTGGCTTATAAGCAACCCAAACTTTTTTTCTTATAATATAAAATTAAATACTACTATAATATAATTATTATTTTCAAACATTATCAAAAAAAAATTTATTTAAATATTTTAATTTTAAAAAAAGTAAATTATAAGCAAATTTATAGCAATTTTTTAATCAAATTTGTCTGAAATTGCTTACAGTTTAAAGGATAATAAAATTAGCCTAATAACAATTTTTATTTAATAAATAGCTATAATTTTATAGAAAATTATAATTTAATTTTTAATTGTTACTTTTGGCCAATCAAAATTATAATAAAATTATTATAACAGATTCTTAATTTGATTGGCTAATAGAAGAAAAACTTTAAAACTCTACTATTACTAATCTAAAAATTTTACAATTATATGAGCTTGGTGCTACAAAAAAAAGGAAAAATTGACAAAACAAAAGATTTTTAAAAAATCAATTTTTATGTTATAAATTTTATAATAAATTATAAGAAAATACAAACTTTAAAAAGCTATATTACAAAATTTTATTAATACAACTTCTTTCATATTTTAAATGAAAAATAATCCTAATATTATTCTAAATTAAGTTGTATAAAAAAAAAAAATTTAAAAATTTGTTAATTTTTCTCTTTTTTGTAGCACCAAGCCTATAATATATCAATCAACTACTATAATTAGATTTATATATATATTGTTTTATTTTGTTTTTTTTATTGTTTTTTTTTAGTGCTTATTTCATTAATTTTTAGTGCTTATTTTGTTTTTTTAAATAGTTTATATATTTTTTGATTAGAATTTAGCTTAGAGTTAGAGTTAGAAAGAAAGTTTCTATTAGTAAAATTTTAATGTTTTTTTTTTCATCACTTTTTTGGTTCTTTGATACTCTTTTTGTTGTTTTTTTTTAATGCTTTTTCTTTGATGCCTTTCTTGGTGCTTTTTTGTTTCTTTTCTGTAACTTTTTATTATTTTTTTTGTTATTTTTTTAGTACTTTTTTCATTATTTTTTTAGTGCTTTTTTCATCACTTTTTTTGGCATTTTTTTGTTACTTCTTTGTGATTCTTTTATGTTGTTTTTTTAAATAAAATAAAAAAATTCTTATATTTTTATTTTTTATTTTTTTTTTAAAAAAAAAAGTTTCGTTAAAAAAATTCAAAGTTCGATAGTATAAAAATTTGATTGGTCACATGTGATTAGAGAAATTTTTTAGGTTGGTGGCGCTAAAGGGGTTGAGAATCTTCAAGATTTCGGCTCACATTACAAAATTGTGTACTAATTTCCGGCCGGAATTACCTTTTTAATTTTTTCATAACAAAAATAGAAATTCTTAAAAAATAAGCCCGCATTATGGTAAAATCGCCCAGGAACAATTTTCATTTAGTGGGCGGCTATAAGCAATTCCGACCTAATTTTTTGATTGTCGCTCTTAGCCAATCAAAATCGAGGATATACCGGTCCAATTTTGTTTGCAATGACCGATCATCAATCCGAACTCCGGAGGGGCGCCTAGCAAATTCGGTGACAGTAGTCGGATTGTGATCGGACAATTGCATCGCTTTTAACGTGAAAACGGACAGGAGTAGTTAATAAATAATTTAAGATTTTATTGCTTGAAAGTACGTTACAGTCAAATCTTTATAGTCGCAACCCATATACGCACATTTTTTTTATACTGTAAGTGCATTTTTTTAAAACCAATAATGTTAAATATACAGTAATAAATTTGATCCTATACTTGTCACACTTCTCTACAATCACACTTTTACCAAAATTTTCCGGATCCCTAACAGGGACACGTAAAAATTAGTAAAAATTACAATTGATTTAATTCGGTTCAAAAACTAGGGTTGTGGTTAGTTTATGGTTTTATGGGGGGTTTTTTTTTTTTTTTGGAACCGGTTTCAAAATCGAAATTTTTTGACAATACGCAATCAAACCAGCTTAGTAAAGTGTCCAATCAATTCATTTGTATCGGAAAATTTCGATAGAATTTCAAATGGGATAAAATCATCTTAAAAAATTTCACTGGCCGATCAAATTTCAAATCAGATATAACATAAAAGAAACTGCTTTCTGTGCAAATTGTTTAAATTGTCGATTGAGAAATGGTTTTTTTTTGATGTTGATTCTACCCTTATCCAGAATTTCGAAAAATTTTGATCAAATTTGACTGAAATTTCAAAAATTTCGATACGACTAAAAAAATAAACTTGATTTTGCTTCAAAATTAATTTGAAAAATTTCTGTTCCCTGCTGACCAAGAAAAGTATCATGTGTGTTTGTGGCAACTAATAAAAATAAGAATGACGAAGATAGCGCTTACATAACGGAGTGAATAGTCGCCTTTTATATATACAGATCTATATAAATTACGCTGACGTTTAAGAGTTTGACACTGAAATTATTTTTTATATGATAAAACCGATTAAATCCGAATTTATCAAAAAAATAAAATCGATTAAATCCGAATTTATCATAAAAATAAAATCGAATTCGAACCAAATCAATAAAATTTCATATAAAAACCAAGCAAACTAAAGGTTGATATAATATACAATTAGATTTGTCATATAAAATCAAGCAAACTAAAAGTTGATATATTATACAATTATAAAATCAAGCAAACTAAAAAGTCGATTAATATATAATTAGATTTATCATTTCCATATAAATAAAAAATAATTAATTAATATATATTACATACCTGAGATAAATAAGATTCAGCAACAATACGAGCTCGAGCATTTAAACTTAATTTCATTTCACTAATTTCTTTGTCTACTTCCTCCATGAATTGAATAATAAAATCTACCAACTTATGTTTGTACATTTGTTCCATATGAAAATTGGTAATTAGGAAGCTAATATCATAACCCTGAAAAAGAAATTAATATATATATATTTTTTTTAAATAAAAATGATAATTAATATTAATTTGCACGAATGATAATTTAAAACTTACATTGATAGGTTTTCTTCTCAAAATTATGAAATTCTCGGCTCTAAGCGTCATAAACCTGGTAAATTTATGACACAAAATACTTTCAATCTCATCAGCCTGTTTTATTTTAATACTGATACGAATTGAATTAATTGATGGTTCTATTAAAACTTTTTCATTTTCGTTTCGACTAATTGTAAGAGGATTTAACACTATTTCCGGTGATGATCTAATTATCAAATTATCAAGACATCTTAAATTAGATAAGGTCTTTTTACACATTAAAATAGGTTATGTCGTTATATCTTACCGTGCCTCAACCTCTGGTTTGTTATGACGTTCTACAATCTGCGATGAAAAATTTTCTAAGCAAAGAACAGCAGTCAAGGTTGATCGAACCGCAGCTAAATAAGGACGTAAGGTGTTCGACTGACAAATTTGATTTTGAGTTAGTTTATGCCCTTACATCTTTTAAAGGAATGCAAATGGCTAATTATATTTTATCATTTCTTTAGATAATTTACCATCGTTATTTAAATCGTTGGAATAGAGAGGTCAAGAGGTCACTTTAAAGGTACCTACGTACGTATAGTATAGCACTATGTTACTACGTTTCGTTCTTTTTTTCTTTGTGGATAAACCCAAGATTGCCGGAGTGACAAATAACTTAGATCTATCTTTAAAATATTATTTATATATGGACGTGATGCGTAATACACGTGATTGTTATTTTTCAATATGTTGTGTATCTTTGCATTGTACAAACAAAACAAATGCACAAAATATCTTACTACGGAATTTGCTACGGTATTTGCTTTGAGAAATTTCAATTGTGTACAAATCTTTATAGAAAAATAACTTCAGCTGAGAAGTTCGTTTATGTCATTGTGGTATGATGAAAAAGAAGCTCAAAAGGCATGTTTACAAAAAACGTGATTCATACGACACCATTTCTCGGACTTAAACTAAGAATTATTTCTTTTTATTGAATATATTCACTAGTAATTACTATTGTATTCACTAATAAGTTTCACTCTAGTATAGACTAAATTAAGAAAGTTTCATAAGGAGATGACTAAATTCATTCCGATAGAAACATCGTGTAATCCATCTAATAATAATCGAATATATATTAACTAAAAATAGTTGTCCCTCTCAGAGTTCTAGTTGTACAAGCAGTGTGCTGAAGTCCTTTCGTTCTTAGCCTTAAATACGATTCTATTGGTATTTAATATACGGTTTAAAAGCAGAGTTAATAATAAAACTACTAACCAAATAATCAAATAAGACTAAAATGATTTTTATTCGCAAAGCCCGATCAAACAAAACGAAAAAAAAATTCCAACGTCGAATCTTACTTCACTTTCTCAACGTTGGTTAATGAAACGAAAACAAATGAATATACTTTTTAAGCAAAAGGGATTTACTAATTTAGCATATGTAATGTTTGAAATTTTCATTTCATGTTGATTGTATTACTAATTTATTTCATCGAATGTCAGATTCAAGATTGTGATTTTGTAATATTTGCCGCAAAATACATATATGAAAATAAGCTAAATTGAAATAAGTGTGAAAATTCACCAACAACTCAAACTGAGAACTAATCTCCTTTGGACCGGTAATATTTATTTCCTTGATTATTTGGAGCTGGTATATTTGGTTACGGCCTTGGTACCTTCGGAAACTGCGTGTTTCGCCAACTCTCCTGGAAGGATAAGTCTAACTGCTGTTTGGATTTCTCTAGACGAAATAGTAGATCTCTTGTTGTACGCCGCAAGTTTGGAGGCTTCAACAGCAATACGTTCAAAAATATCATTTACAAAAGAGTTCATGATCGACATAGCCTTGTTCGAAATACCAGTGTCCGGGTGGACTTGTTTTAAGACTTTGTAGATGTAACTTGAGTACGTTTCTTTTCTCATTTTTCTCTTCTTGACTTTTTCACCAGGGGCTGCCGGTTTCTTTTTTTCACTTGGAACTTTAGTGGCCGGAGCTTTACCACCAGTGGTTGCTGGCTTCTTTTCAGCTGGTTTGGGAGGCATATTCGTTATTAAGCTTTTATTTTCGTTGACGTTGGTATTTCGTGGTTATTTCGTTATATGGGTTTGTTGTTTTTTTTTTTTCGTTTTTTTTTTTCAAAAGGATAAATGGTTGAAAAATTAGTTGATCGTGGATTTGCTTTATTTATAGGTTTGCTTACATTGTAATCAGAAGACCACCTCATTTGACCAAAATATGACTCACCCAATATTATTAGACCAATAAAATTGCAGCCTGTGATAATACAAAAATTAAAAACGGCAATCAATCAATCAATAAACTTTTTTGCTTTTTAACTCTATATAAATACAAGAGTTTTTATGATTTTTTGTTTCGTGCTTATTTATCGTCAACCATTAATTTTCAATGTTGGTTAAAATTTCAAGATTTTTCGAGTTATTAAAGTATTAAAAAAGATAAATTTAAAGTTTTAACAATAATAAATACAGTATACATTATATTAAAAGGTTTTGTTATTAAAAATGATGCTAAAATCGGATTAGACACGTAAACTATAAATCTTACCATTAATTATAAATTCTATTCTTAATAATAATATATAAAAAAAAAAACTTTTTAAAAAATTATAATATTTTTGCTGGCATCCATAAGAGACAGCCGGATATTAGTCTAATATATCAATTAAATAGCTTAGTCATGTATTGAGTATCCATGTATTAGGCATCAAATATTTAATAAAAAGTTTAGTACGCGGTTATCAAAGGAAAATAATAATAATAATAATATTCTTCTTAAGCTTAGAAAATATTATTTTTTAAATATATAGCTATATATTTAGAAAAATCTAACTATATTTTTTAGTATTTTTAAAATTAGAATACAATTTTAAATAAAAAAAAAGATTTATATATTATAAATTAAATATAAAGGTTTTTATAAAGTTTTTGAAGGTTCTAAATATTTTTATTTAAAATTTTCAACTACGTCAGACCTTTTTAAATATATATTTTTTCATCTTCCTAAATACAATATCTTTCTTAATACAAGATTTTTTGGCTATATAATTATTTAGTATATTTTTGAGATATAGTATTTTTAATTATTTTTTTTGTAAAAATTAGCAATTGCTATTTTTAAATATTATTATATTAAATTTTATTAAATATTTTTTTAAAAATATATATATATTTATATTTATGTTTATACAGACAAATTGTTTACAAATTTTTACCAATTAAAATAAATTAAAACTAAACTATAATATATTTAAAAATAATTATAGTATATATCAGATAAGTTATATAGTATTTATAAAAAATATACAAATTAAAAAATACAGCGATTCTATTGGCTGCAAAAAATATAAAAAACTCATACTGCAATTTGATTGGTTAATCGATGGGTATTTTTTATAAAATTTTGAAAGGTAAAGAGGGGGGGGGGGGATTATGTACAAAATTTTATATGACAGCCTGTTTCTGACCTTTAAATAAAAGCGCGCAAATAGACATCTATATTTAATACACTAATTATTTCGGTTTAGATCGGAGGTAACACGTCAAACAGCTCGAAAGTTGGTAACAACACCATAGTAAAGTATATATTTTTTTTGATTGGCTTTTAAATTTGTTTTAGTCTTTAAGTGTCGTGCACTTATTTGATAAAAAACATGATTTTTGTTATGTGAGATTAGATAATAATTAATTGGTTTCACTAATCCAGTTCTAACTTAAATTGATTATCATTTGACCTGTATTCAATACATTTATTCATTCTAGCTTTAAAAACGCGTTATCGTTATAGAATATTTATTACGCGTTAAGGTCTCCATAATTGGCAAGTGTACAAATGCTATCAATAATAAACAATGTTGATTTAGATTCGACTTTTCGAGATTATATAATGTATTCCGTTTTTCCTTTACCTTTGATGCCGCAATCACTTTCCTTGTTATTATACTATAGAATTTTTCAGATCTGTTTGAAGGAATGGGGGAAGCTGAAGCCCTTCAAAAGGAATTGACTAATGTTTTAAAAAAATTCCCAATGTTTGATGGAATATTACAAGTAGTTGACAGAGTTGGAGTCGGCAAGTTATTTTTATTTTTTTTTTTTACTTCAAAATTTCATATGGTTGAAAACAACTCATTTTACACAATTTGATTAAATTGATTAAATTGAAGTTAGAACTCAACATATTTAATGGTTCTATCCTAAAAAATTTATAGGAACTTTTGGTGCGGTATACAAAGCGCGTAATTTACGGTATGAAGGAAACGAAAATACTGATTCAGCATATGGTAGTAGGAGTCCATCGCCTATAGTAACTAATACGGATGAAAAACGTGGGATAAAACGTAAATTCGTGGATGAGGAGTATTTTAAAAGCATACAATACGTCGCTATAAAGAAAATAATTATTAACTATTCAATCGGAAGGGTTGCGGAAGAAATTTCAATTTTACATGAATTAAGGTTAGGATGTTACTTTAATTTACGCGTCGTGTTTATTATAGTTTACGCGCCATGTTAAATCTTTTTAATGTCAATTACATTTGATTTTAATTCGGTCTTGCTATAGAGGGTACGGCAATATTATTCAACTTCTGTCAGCGCATAGATATGAAGACGAAGTGATTCTTATTACTCCACATTTCGAGCATGATAAATTTCGGGTAATAATAGTAAACCAATTTACGAAAAATTGAAATACCAATGTATGATTCATGCTTTAGTTCCTTATTTATGTTAGAATTTTTATCAAAAAATGACAATCGACGATATCAAATCGTATTTTCGGGCACTTTTTGAAGCGTTAAAGGATGCACATTCTCATAATATTGTTCATAGAGATGTGAAGCCGGGTAATTTTCTGTATAACATGAAAGAAAAGAAAGGAATCTTGGTAGACTTTGGCCTTGCAGAGGTAATATCCTTTTTTTTTTTTTCCTATTTTCGCTTATGTCATCCGATTTTTTCCTTACGCATTTGTTTAAAGAGGTTGGGAACATCAAATTCCTACCTCGAAAAGATATATGATATTCCTAATGTAGGAACAGTCCGTTTTCCTTCGGTAGTTGGTCAAATTTCGATCGAACCTTCTCAATCCAACAAACCAGCAGTAAAGCGAATTCGTACATTGACTGCTTCGAAAAAGTTAACCAGACAGCAAACAATCGACGAATTGTATTTATTTATTTATTTGCTTATCTCCTGTTAAATTCATAATGTCTTGTCACTCAGTTAAAAAAAAAACTTATTAGAATGAAAAGGGGATACGTTGATTTGGATCCAAAAGGTTGTGAAAACAAACCTGGGTGGAAAGCCAATAGAGCAGGTACGAGAGGTTTTCGTGCACCAGAAGTTTTATTTAGAGTTCAAAATCAAACTTGCGGTAAGTCACTTCATACCTTGACAATATTTTGAAAAAAAACTTTTTGCTAATTTCATGAAATCTATTCAAAAAGCAATCGACATTTGGTCTGCTGGTGTCATCTTGATTACAATACTATCACACCATTATCCGTTTTTTAAATCAACTGATGACGCAGATGCATTTTACGAGTTGGGAATCTTATTTGGAAAAAAGTTGATGCACGATCTGGCAACGCAACACGGTACAAACCTTTTTTCGATTTAAGCATAAATTTGAAAGTAAATATACTATATTGCTGATAAGTTAACCCAAATTTCCAATTTGTATTTTAAAGAAAGGTACTTCCGAACCGATATTCCCTTGATATACGATCCGGGATTGCAATTTGATAAACTCTTACATACAATGAGGCGAGATTTGTTTCCTAAAAATGATAAACAATTGCTTACTGAAGTTCACAACGCTATTGATTTGTTGCAAAGGTGCCTAGAACCGTACCCGAGTAAACGAATCACGGCGGCTGAAGCGCTTAAACATCCTTTTTTATTAAGCTAAATAAAAAATCCTTTTTTTATCAAGCTGACATTTTTATTGATTACAAAATGCAATACTTTATTAATGTATAATAACGTATAGCAGTGCTAGCAATTTAGATAATTTGTATATACGTAAAAAGATTTTAAAATTGCTATTTAATAGATATATAGATATATATAGATATATATAGATATATAGATTTAATAATAATTTTCTAAGATAATAAAATTTGCTTTTAATTATGCTTATAAATTTTTATAAATATATATATATTTATTTATTATTGGTTAGGTAACAGCTTCATAATTATTAAAACTTTTACCTAAATTTTGTTTACCACACCCTACGAGCCAAATATCTTCTCTAGCAGGTAAAGTTAATGTTCCGCAGAACAGAACCAAAAACCCAGAACCGTTCTTGTTCGAACCGGATTTGTAGGTGCACTGGGTCGAAATAAAATAACGCACCATATTCCAGTCTTTCGGGCTGGTTCTTAGTTTTTAGGTTTCAGGGTCTTTTAAAAGATGTCTTACGAATGTTACAGAATGTTACACATAGTTGTACTCTATCACATGTCAAAATTATGTAAATCTAGATACACGAGATCAATAGAAATTCTAACCGACTTTTAATAATAATTTCCCTTGTTAATTTTATATTAAAATGGCGTCAGAAGATAAAAAAACTACGGTAACTGATGACTTGGATGATGTAGACGAGCTACTTGACGGTTAGATCAAAGAATTTTTTTTTTATATTTATAGGAAAAAGCAAATGTTAACATTATATGAATTTCAAATTTTTTTAGAGGTTTTGGATGATTTTTCTTCACAACAATCTAATCTTGACTCAAACAAGCAAACTACAACAGCCACACCCACTTCTTCAAAAGAAAATATTATAAATGATGAGGAGTATGCAGCACAATTAGCCGCAGATATGGAAGATTTTGTTAAGCAATTTGAAGAAAATGAAGAAATAAAACAAGCGTTTCAAGAATTAATGAACTCAGTTAGTGATGAATCTATCAGTGGGGTTGGAAATAGCGATAATAATAATTTTGGAGGTTCTGACGAATCTAAAGAAAAATCATTTCAGGATAAAATCAATCAAACAATGAATAAACTTCAGAACAGTTCGGATCAAGTTGATGTATGTAAAAAGTTCAAAATTGAAATATTATTATATTATGTTTCATTATTTGGTTTTTATCAGTTTTAGAGAAACTAGATATGAAAATTTGAGCAAGATAAGTCGGTAACCCTATAGATCTGTATTGTATTCATTACGATACAAATTTGTAAAGTCACCAAAATTTTCTTTACTGCCTTCCATATCTGGGTTCTCAAATAATGAGAAGGATCATGATTAACAAGTATTTATATATTTGTAAAGGCCGAAGTTTCAGAAAGTGCAACCGATGCAATAGTCGAACAAATGTTTAAACAAATAGAAGATGGGTTAGCAGGTCTTGGTGAAAATGGAGACATGGAGGATATGTTAGGCGGAGGAATGGATAAAGTATTAGAGTGGATGATGGAAACCTTAGCGACAAAAGATTACTTATATGAGCCAATGAAAGAATTTGCACAAAAGGTGGATAATCATTATTTTGGTATTATTCATCATCTATAGTTTAATACGTATATATTTTTTTTACACAACTAACAACAAAAGATGTCATCGCTGCATCCTTATACAATCGTCATGGTTGCACTATTTATTTTAAGTACCCGAAATGGCTCGAAGAAAACAAAAGTAAAGTTTCAGAAGAGGATTATGAACGTTATGAAAAACAATCAGAGTATATTCAAAAAATTATTGAGAAATATGAAGCGCCTGAATTTGATGAAAATAATGAACAACAGAATAAAGCGATAGTAAGCTTAATGCAGGAGGTGAGTGTTATATAAATTTTAAAGTTAAATAAATTAATTATTTAATTTTTTTTTTTTTTTTTGTTGGTAGCTTCAAGAACTTGGACAACCACCATCAGAAATTCTTAGTGAATTAATAGGGCGGCCCAATCCTTGAATTATGACATTACTACATAGTTTGAGTTGCTTCTTTATTTGGGACAATAACAAAAACCCAAGTATGTGTCCCATTTTTGGTTAATATTGTTAATCAAATTTGTTAATTCAGTGCTATAAATTATTAAAACTTCGTCCTGAGATGATTTAGGAACTAAACAGGACATGTTAGATAAAAAATGATATGTATGTATGTTAGTTTTAATAGTTATATCGAAAATGTACACAATAATTGAAAAAAATAATTATATAAAAGTGAAAGCTTTTCACATACAAAATGAAATTTCAAATTATAAATAAACGTTTCAACAAAGTTTCCTTTGAAATTCAAGTAGTAATGCTTAATGGTTTTTAAGAAAAGTAAGGACCCACTGTAAAAATCGGTACTTATCACTAAATGGTCCTATATCTATAGATACAGATTTATGACGCCGCCAAACTGATATATAAATTAACACATTTTATTCCTCCATACACCATTGTTGAATTAAATCCATAATTATTATTAATTGATAATGGGTATCGCCAAGGAAAACCAGTCATCTGGGTTTTAAATTTATAAACTACTGAACACATTCCTTAAAAAAATCCGATAAATTGAAATTTTCCCTTAGGACACCCAAAGAATTACCGTGACATGGTCAGAATCATAATCCATCGAGCACGGTCAGAAAATCTTCACGAGATGCTGTGAATCAAATTAAAGAGAAATTACTAAGTATCCTTAGCAATTAACCAGAAATCTAAATAAAGGTTAATTATTTAAAATTAATACTAGGTTAATGCATGGCAATATGTGTCCTATAAATATATACATACCAAAATTATTTTTGTAGCAGTTAATATTATAATATTAACCAATCAAAAAGCATATTCACTTAATATATTTTTTAAATATCAAATAAAAGGGCATGCCTTTTAGCTTAATGGCATGCTTCTAGTCTGAAGCCTATAATGCTGGTTTTGTTATACTAAGGTTAAATATATGCAAACAGACATGAATTTCAAATTTACATTTTTGATTAATGGTTTAATCAGGAAACGTAACTATTGATACATCAAAAATGTAGCTTTTGTATTACTGTGTTAAACATTATTGTTAAGAAAGGCTAATAGTGGCAAAAAATCTTGATTACACTTATTTGTATTATTATAAGTAGTGTTTGCAATTAGCAATTGGACAATCAAGTTAACCAATAATATTGGATAATTAATTGGACAATTGAACTGGAACAATTAAATTAACAAATGATATTTATTAGCCCAATAGTCCAATTGTCAAATTGCAAACACTGATTATAAATATTATTTTAAATTTTTATTTTAATAATTTTAATTACTGCTAACTCTATTAGCAAAGAATATTTTTTAGAAATATAATTTTTTTAAGCCTATATACTGTATATATACTGTATTTAAAATAGGAACTTTGAAAAATTTTAGAATGAGACCTTAGAAAAAAAGATTATATACTATGAAAACATGAACCAAGGATCAGAAGATCTTTAAATCTAAGCCTGAAAAACTTGGGTTTGGGCAAACCAATCCCCCTGGGCCATCTGGTGTTGGAAGACTGAAGATACCAAAAGAGTATAATACAGGAAGTAACAAAATAAGGTATTGGGGTCTGTGAACCTTATAAAGAATAGAATTAAATAATAGAAGACTAATTAGAAAAGTTGTGCTTGAAATACAGATTGTGTTATAGTAGCACCCCAAAAGGTGATATGAAATATAAACACAATAGTAGCAAACAATATATACTAATTGAAACAAAGTTATTCAATAAGTATGCATTTTTATATATAAAGTATATAATATGATATCAGGTTTATTTTAAGAATTAACTAGTTCTAAGTTAGTTGTTAATTTAGACATGTTATATAGATTCACAGTTATATAGTAATAAGATTATATTTGAGTTAAGATAGGGATATAGTAAAGATTATAACCAAAGAGTTTAAATAAGCAATTTTTATAGTTGAAGTGCAAATATGACAGATAGTATAAAACTCCTTGTATTGCACTAATACTTTGGATAGACTATTTAAATTAGATACCAAAAGTAAAGATTTAATCTGCTAAAAAAAATATCATTTAGATACAATTCAGATATGTTTTAAATAATTTAAATTTAATTCAGATATAAATATTTTTGAATAATCCGATTTTAATATATAATCCAAATACAAATTAATTAATTTGGATTTATTATACTTTTATATTTAAAAAACAAGTTCATTAATATGTTTAGTAGTTATATTTATAAAAAAATAATAGGATTTCTTTAAGAAAAGTTGAGTTGTAAATTGTGGTTTGTTATAGTTAAGTGGTATAAGGCTAATTACATTTTCTATAATATTTTTATTGCTACAAGTAGTAATTATTAACTTAATAAAAGCAGAAAGTTATTCAAATCATATTTGTCTTCGGAATTTTAACTTATTCTAGTTAATAGTTTTACAAAACATATCACTAGCAATTAATATTATATTGGCACTAGCTAGTAGTTCTTGTATATAATATAAGTAGGCTATTAGCATAAACATGTAATATTTAGCTAATAGGTTTTTTAGAAAAGAAGATTGAGTTGCAAATAGGCCTATTAATACTATTGTTGGCTAATTTTTTTTTTTTTTTTTTGAAATTTAACGGCTATGTCATATGCCTGCTTTATTGATGCAGTACTACATTTCTCAAAGGATTTGTTTGAATTACATCATGCTTTATGGCAAAAAATTTGGAATATGGCTTACCCAGTTTCCAATTAGACCTATGTGTGACCTGCCAAAGATAAGTTCAATCTTCCCGGTTAGGTTCGGCTTACTTCACTTTAACTGACCCATTCCTGAATCACTGATTTGGTTCACCAGCCCGTTATGACTGCCTTCTTTCCAAACCTTCTTTTTCTAGCCTTCTAGATAGAAGAACTACCAATAAAAAATGAAATATGAAATAAAGGAAAAACTAAAAAAGGAAGAAGGTTTAAACTAAACGAACCTAAAAAAAAAAAAACAAAATAAAAAAGAAAACAAAAAAAAAAAGGCTAAAAAAAATACGGCTATAATGACACTATTATTGCCTGTGTTAGGCTGTAAAAATTATATAATATTGCATAGAAAAAAATCTAATCTAACACTATATGTAATAAAAAGAAGTAAAAGAAAAAAAAACATCTAACATTAAAAAATTTTTACACATGATTCCTTTGATCCTCTATACTATAAACAGTTCTGCCATCATTGTTTATTTGGCAAAGCAGAATCCAAATAAGCTTGTGGAAGATTCCATTTCAGTAAACGTGTCCTAATTTGAAAGAAGTAAACACTGCCGATCTTTTGGAGAGAGTACGCTGATTTTTTCACTTTTTGGCCAAAATTTCTAAAAAAATTTCAAAACTGCAAAAATTTGTTTGTAGGTATATGTTTGCAGGTGCTTCTAAAATTTCTAAATAGTGTGTTGGGCCACTAGAACTTTGTTGTTTCCTCTGTGTTCTTCTTTGAAGTAATAGCCAACTTACTTTATCAACAAAAATAAGCGAGTTCATCGCTACACTTCATCAAGATTTTTTATACAAGAGCACCACCTGCCAGTTATCTAGTATAATAATGCTCCTGGCTTGTATGCCGAATGTCTACTATAGAGGAGTCTTTTAGAAAAGCAGTTAACCTCTAGACAAACCACAAGAAGGCTATATCTCTCCAACAAAAGTTCTGTTTTCCATTTGCTAAATTTTAAGTACAAGTGATCATTAGGAAGAGTTAATTGAATTTTTTTTTGATTGTTAGCTAATTGTGTTTTTTTTTTTTTTTTTTTTTTTAGCTCTTTGACAGTCTTGCTAGAGCTCAAATACAATATTTTATTAAACAAACTTGGACAGAATAAATAATGACAGTATGAAAATTGCAAGTTCAACATCATCTAGCTGCATCTAGTGTGTTCAAGAGTGACATGTCACACCAACTTACATGTAAGTTAGAAAACCTTGTCAGCCCGCCAAGAGCCTATCTCTTCATTCTTACTTTCTTCACTAAGAGCAAAAGAAAATAATGTTCAATATTCTTAATACTAGAACATACATCAAGAAGTAAAGGAGTTTACATACAAAAAAGATACAAAACAAGAAAAGAAAAAATAATAAGAAATAAAAATGAGGAAACAGAAAATATAAAAAAAGAAAAAACAAAGAAATAAGCCCTGACAGGCTGAATAAAAAAAAGTTATCTCCCGTGAGAAATAGCAGCTACCTCTATCAAGAAATAGCACAAAAATGAACAAAAAAAAGAAAAAAGAAAAAGTACTATTATAATCCATACTAGGTTTAAAAAAAAATTTTATAACAACTACAACGTTTGTATATCTTAACTATAAAATCTAACAAATTTTTATCTGACTACCAGCCATCTCCAGATGCCTCTTATATTAGAGACCTGATCCTAGTTACGTGGAGGACCCATATTTATAAATTAAGTCACGTATCATATCTACTGATAAACAAGGCATGTGGTTGCATTCCTGGGTACGTCCGAATTTGGGAGATAAACAATACCGATCTTTTGGAGAGGGTAAACCAAATTGCCTACTTTTAGTAAAAAATTTTGAAAAAGACTGGCCAAGTAAAAAACACCTAGGGAGAGACCACTTGTACCCAAGGAAAGTAGTTACATCCATGTAAAAACTTAACAACTTCTAAACCTTCTTTTAAGAAAGAGGTAGGGCACCTATACTATTCTTTTCAGTGAGTGATAAACTCTGGGCTTGTCGGCAAGTAGCATATGAGAACTACTTCTAAATGACAAGTGCTATACAAGTGATGAGTAATAAACTCTGAAAAAGTTAGCAGGTAGTATATGAGAACTATCTCTAAATAACAACTGCAGACTTATAGCTTCTAGGTTTGCCCTCTGTGTTTTACTAAATGCTATTGTGTTTTTACAAAAAATATATTTGGATTTTTTGGTACAGGTGATCGTCAGAAAGAGTTGTGATATAGAAGTTTTTGCTAATTGTGTTTTCATTTCTAATTTTTTTTCATTGCTATATATAGAATAATACTTATTTATTATATATATATATATATATATGAAATTAGTTCTGTTAATAGTTTCACAGTACCTGCTTAGCACAAATAACAAAACAACAATATATAAAATTATAAATTTTTAATACCCAATCAAATACAAAATTTTGTATACATTATTTTAGATAGTAGTTAATCATATAGGAGTAAGTCAGTAGAAACACACTGTTTTTTTAATGAACTTTTTTTGAATCTTCAAACAAAAATAAATCAGCAAAAATTTAACCAAATTTAGTAAAAAATTTTTTAAATAAATTTTACAAGTTTTTTGAATTAATTTAAAAAATTTTTATTAAATTTAATTAATTGTTGTTGAATTATTTTTGTTTAAAGTTTCAAAAGAATTTAC